CGTAGGATAGAAAATATTTCTTCTTTGCCATAAAGTCGGAAAAGAGAGATATGTCTCTAGTCATGTATCTTGAACATCCACTATTGAGAATCCATTTTCCCGTTATAGCATCAAGACACTCATCCTACAAAAATCAAACAAAAGTGGTAGGTATCCAATTCTCATTGGATCCTTGAGAGTGAGTTAAATAATTGTGGCATTTCGGCAACCATTGGAAATTAACTTTAGGAACACAAAAGGAACCTAAATTTGCATTTTTCAATAGTATGACCTTTTGCAACAATAGTGACAAAATAACTTATGATGAGAATCACCTATGCTATTAGACTTCTTCTTGATCAAGTTATAATTTTTATGATGCTTTTCAACCATTGAACATCTAATAGCAATACTATCAACGAGATGACGTATTGTGTCTAATTTCGTTTTAAGATTACTCATTTCTTGTTGCCAAATTTGACATGTTTCACATCCAAATTTACAAGATTGTTCATCCTCCTTTACATAATTTGAACTATCTACAATGAGTTTCTTTAATGCCTCAAATTATTCATTTGTTTCTTCAACCTTGGCCTCCAAATAAGTAAAAGTATTTTCTTGGGAGACCAATCTTTTGTTAGCATATAAAGTTTCTTTTTTGTAGGTTTTCAAATTGATTCTTCAACTCATTAAAAGAAAACTTTACAATGTTAGAGTATTCAGAATGACTTACATCCTTTTTCTTCCCTTGACGATGATTTTCCATGAAACAATAGTTTGCCTCTTCACCACTCTCGCTTGAGCTTTCATCGCCTGAGACATCACTATCACTATCCCAAGCAACATAGGCTTGTCTAGAATTTTTAGAATTATTTCGTTGGCCATTTCATTTCTTCTTAGCAAGAGATGGACAATATGGTCCATAATGACCTAGTTTTCCGCATATGTAACAAATACCATTTTCCTTGTCCTTTTTGTTGTCTTCATTTTTAGAGGAGGAAGATTTTCTTCTAAATTTTGCAAGATTATTATCGGAGTGTTTGAAACCATTCTTTTGAATGTATTGATTATATTTCCTTACAAATAATCTCATTTATTCATCATCTTAATTCTCTTCATTACAAGAGTCATTATCATTTGTGAGCTCATCCCTTGAGGACTTTGAACTTGAACCCTTGAGAGATTTAGACTTCAATACTTCCTCCTCACAACCCCTTTTTCCTTTTTCTTTTTCTCAAGCTTCTTTTCATGTTTATCCAAGCAATTGAGTTCTTGCTCGAGTTCTTCTAACTTTCCAAACAAAGCGGTGAGATCAAGTGTTGCAATATTATTGGCTTCCTTGATTGCGATGTCTTTTAGTTGCCAATTACAAGTAAAACATCTCAACACCTTGTTAGTAGCAATAGATTGGAAATAATATTTCCTTGTAAATTTAAGCGATTAATAAGATGTGAGAACTTCTTTTGCATTTGAGCAATGGTTTCCCATTGCTTCATGCGAAAGAGTTCAAACTCTTGATTAAGTGTATTAATTCTAGCTTATTTGACTTCATTAGTTCCCTCATAGGTAACTTGTAGAGTTCCCACATAGCTTTAGCAGTTTGGCAACGAGAGATACCATAGAAATCATCAATACCAAGAGTGGATACAATGATGTTCGTTGCTTTCCAATTGTAATACCACTTTTATTATCATCCTTATTCCATAAGTTTTCCAGCTTTGGTACAGTAACACCATCAACAAAATATGTCACCGGTGTTGGACCATTTTGAATGGCTTCCCAAACACCTATGTCATATGAGTCGACATGAATTTGTTTACAAGCTTTCCAATAACTATAATTTTCTCCCGTGAACATTGGGACTCTTTTATAATCCCCTTTAGGTTCGTAAGCCATTTTCTAAAAAGTGTTGAAGTCGAAATAAATCGGGCTCTTGATGCCACTTGTTAGACGACGACAACGTATCTAGATAGGGGAGGGGGGGGGGGGGTGAATAGACACCCCTTTGAAAAATTTCAAATAAAATTTGGCTTTGAAAAATATATTTTATCAAAGTTCAACGCATAACCGTTTTCAAAATACCGTATGTACGGATGTTATTGGAGGCTCGGATATGAAAACTGTAATTAACAAATTCAATATGAAATGAGAAAAATAAACCGAATTAATGAACTTGAATCAATTAACAACTTATTTATCGTTTATTGAAAGTTACTTGCAAGGCTATTTCCAATGGCAATATTGAAAGAGCTAGTTGAATCAATTTATCAAACACTTGGTGTGCAAGTGAAATTTTAGAATTTTTCCTTTTGTTGTGTTGATACACAAAACTACTTATAATTGAAAGTGATTATAAGCTATATCACCACTAGATTTAAAATAAAAAATTATTCATAAAATTCTTACAATTTAATTGATAACGCAATGCTATTTGATAAATTGATCAATGAAAATCAAAGCAAGTAAAAGAAAAAATAAAAGAGACACAAAGAATTTGTCTTCACAGTTCGGCATTGTTGTCCTCGCGTGTGGGTACGTTTGCTTCTAATTCCAATGGAATTAGGATAATTCTTACTATGCAAAATTGTTGATACAAGATAAGTGTTTAACAGCAACTTGATAAATCCAAAGTTTGTTGTTCATTGAACCCCTTCTGCTCTTTTGATCTTGAGAAAGACCAAGACATAATGAATGCAAATAGCTTATCTGGATCTTTCTAGTCCTTTGCATTCTTTATCTCCAAAGCTTTTGCGCACCATCGATTTCAAACTATTGCAACATAAGACTTAAATTGTAATTCACTGTTCTCAAGCTACTTCCTTTGCGTTTTTTATCTCCAAAGGATCCCTTGCACTATTTATCTCCAAAGGACTTCACTTAGCCGTAATTACCTCTCGAACGTCTTACACGAAAACCCCCAAATCAACCAATGATCTTGGAGGACAAATCCAATGTTTTTCCTTGATGAAAACCCCTACAAAGCTTAACCAAATACACAATTGGGCACTATCAATCTTCACCTAGATAACACCCCACGAAACATCACTACAATGTAATGCCGGTTTGTATGCATAGATTGGAGGTTAAAGATGAAGAGAGAAATAGACTAGTTTCATGGTTTCACCAATTTAAGAATGATGCATGAAGGAGTGTTTATAGTTTTGGAACTTTTAGGGAAAAAGGGACAAATTCAGAATAATTTTTTTTAATGAAAATTGACTAAACAAACAGTATGTATCAACCTAAGTATCGTATGTGTCGACCTATACATAATTTTTAAACTGTATGTGTCGACCTATAAAAGGATATGTGTCGACCTGAAAAACTTATGTGTCGACACATGAAATAAGAATTTCTGCATTCAGAAATGCTTCAGTATGTGTTGACCTGAATGAACGCATGTGTCGACACGTGACTTACATAAGCTACAGGCTTTAAAAATGAGTTGCATGTGTCGACACATGCAATAAAAATTATGCAGAAAATTATTTTTAATGGCTCAGATCAATTTCAAAATGCTTTTTATTGATTCCTAAGACTTCTAATGCAGAGGAGTGCCACAAGACATAAGGATATCGTCCAATGTTCAGAAGTGCAAGCTTTTCTCAGTTTTGACATTATTCAAAATATTTAACGATGAAGTTTATCCTCACAGCTTGTAGACTTATCAGCCATTGAAGCGAAATATATCGCCCTCACTGAAGTTGTGAAAGAAGAATTGTAGCTTGAAGATTTTGCTAATGAGTTGAAACTTCAAGATTGAGTTATCACTGTTAAATGTGATAATCAAAGTGTTATACACCTGTTAAAGAATTAAACCTATCATGAACGAACCAATCACATCGATGTGAGAATGTATTTCGTCAGAGCGTTAATTGAGCGGGGAGAAGTCCAAGTGCTGAAGGTTTCGACATTTCACAGTGCTGCTGATATGATCACCAAGACATTGTTAAGTTGTAAGTTTTTCCACTATATGTAGTTGATAAAGCTGCATGAAGAAAGCTTGTTTGTTCTTTGATGTTATAGAGTTTGTTCTAAGGTGGAGATTTGTGAGATATTGGATCGAACTCTAATATGGTCTAAGGGTAACTTCTTGGTTTGACAATTTGACAGGATCTTAGCATGTTGTTGAAGCATGTTCACATGTTGTAGTTGAAGTATGCTGAAGTATGCTCAAGTATGCAGTAGTCGAAATGCTAGGATTATTAGCATGTCGAATTGGGCCTTGCAAAATCCAACTATTTAAGTTAACTTATTCCCTAAGTTAGCTTGTGTAATGGGCAATATGTGTAAAAACTCATTAGTTTAGTGTGTTAATTTTTTTTTATAAATAGCATACTAGTCTCTCATCATTACAATAATGCAAATCCTAATTAGGGTGTGAAAGGTTATTCGTTATTCTGTAACACTTGTAAACTTGTTTCAAAGAGAAAGTAAAAAATATCAATTTATAACCAATTCCATTGTGTTCTTCTTACTTTCCTTTGTCCTATCCTTGTATGTTTTTTTTTCGATCAAGAAATCAATTATACTTTATTATTTCAATGTCGTTTTGAACAAATATTATAATATTATTTGACGAAAGATATTTTTCGAAATAGTGCAACCTCTAATAATGTTTTTCTGCATTTTCATAATGCGTAAATAATCTGTTTATATTTATACGTTTAACAATTTTGAAGTTTTTATGTAATATCAATTAAATAATACAACTAAATAATAATTAATATTATATTTAAAATTGAACTTATTTTACAAATTTGACAACTTTAATTTTGAAAGGTAGAGTAATTTTCAATATATATTACAATTACAATAAAAATAACAAGAATGTATATATACATGCAATACATAGGGACCACATATGAAAGCTATTTAACTAGAGACATATTACAACAAAAGAGAATAGATAGGCCTAACTCTAGAGAGATCATAGTAATTTTGGATTGTTGCAAATTGAAGAATTGAAATATGATTCATAGAGATAAGAGATGAATCGTTTTCAATGGAGTAATTAGATTTTAGTCATTGGTTGAGCCTTTGGAGGAATCTGAGACGATTTTCTGTAGCATCTGGTTTGTTTCTTCCTCGGACATTCGCTCGTCTTTACTCTTTGATTTTGCATACTCTTCAAAAAATTGTTTGTTCTCTTTCTCAAGCTCATTCCAAACTGCATTTATTAATGTAATAATTATGTATATATGTATGTATATATGTTTATTTAATGTGTACGGATGTAATGTGGTTCATAAATGTGACTGTGATATGCAGTAGGCACGTGTATGGTGTGGAAGGTATCATACATAAATTAAACAAATTAACATGCTTATGTTCTTAGTTTATTCACTTTAAATTGTGCATGGAACAATTATGTGGTGTTTTTATTTATTATTAATTATGTTTTAAACAAAAATATCAATTTGATCATAAAAATATTATAATTATAATTAAATCTGCACATTAACAAAAACCTTATATTATTAGGTTAAACGTAAACATTATTGATAAAAACATAAGTCTTATATAATTGTGTGTAAGTTTTTAATATTTATAACTATTTTGTTTACGTATAAAAAACATTAAACAGCAACGTTATAAAGTAATTAAATATCTTTACTTCAAACTTAATTAAGACATTAGGATCATATGTATTTCATATAGCCAATTTTCAGTCCACTTACAGGTAACCATTCTAATTTAAATTCCAACAATATTTAAACCAAATATTAATAATTATGTTAACTTCACATTTATTAGGTTCCACAAACAATACTTTATATTTTAATATTTATTTTATTGTCATTTATAGCAAATTTTCTAGTTGATTAAAATTTTCTAGTTTAGAAGAAGAGGGAGGAAAATATGTTTGAGAGAAAACTAAAAAAACATGAAAGAAAAATCATTGTCATTACAAAAAAAGTTCTTATCAAATGATAAAAATCAAATTTTATCATTAATATATTTTTATATGGATGTTGTGTATTATATTTAATTTTTTATAAAAATCTTTTAAAAAAAACCCAAACCCTCGCAGCTTTGGAGTTTTCCAATTTTGAGAGAATTTTGAAAACTGTATTAAAACATGTTTTTGAGGAATTAGATAAATAATTCAAACTTAATTTATTTTGTTCTATAAAAAAACATTTTATTAAAATTGATAAAATTTTGTATTTTTCTTTGTACTCATATCTCTTCAAAGCCATCCCTTTCTCTCCCTTAACAAAAGAGTATCTTGGTAAATTCTTGATACATGATCAAGCCTTTGATAGCTTTAGATAGTTTATCAACCAAATTGAACCAGCTATAGTATAAATATGGTATACATATATATATATATACTATTAACTAGGTATAAATAAATTAAATTCTTAATTCTTCATTTTTGTATGACCATATCTCTCATGCTTCAAGAAAGAAAAAAAAAATTTTATCTCTAACATCTCTTCAATTTTGCATGACATGAAATTAAAGTATATATTAATTTTCCATGTGATAATAACTCTTAAAAAACAACATGTTTTGGAATGAAAGAGTAATTAATTAATTAAAAACATATTTACCTGTGGAGGTTATGACAGGCTTAATTTTTGCATGCTTATAAAGAGCTTCCATGCATTCTTGCTTTGTCATGTGAAAGATCAAACACTTCTCAATTAGGTGTTGCACCTAATTTTCATACAAACACATGTCAACAAACAATGAATATATATGATTAATTAAGATCAAAAGAATTAATCAATTAATTAAAAAAAAAGGTTGACGAAACTTTAGCTCTGACCATATGAATGTATGAAGCAGATGAAGAAGAAGGCTCTCCCATGATCCTAACACTAGAAATGGTTATTCTTAGTGAAGTTAAGAAAATTGATGTAGTAGTGCAACTAGTGTGAAGAGGTAAAATATTATATGATATATGTAGCATATAAGATCTAATCTTAATGCAGGCGCAAGACAAATAGAGTACAATATAAAGTAGAGAAGGTGGTGAGGTGGGACCAATAGTCCCACGTGAGAGATAAATGATAAATGGCTGAGAGGGGATTAGAAGAGATTGTAAATGACTATTCTTTGTGATTTTGTGTGAATTGCCAATAGAGGTTTCTGCCTACTTCACGTGATTTGTGGGACCAAGACTAAATAAAATTCCTCAAAACAGACAACAAACTTTGATCATCAACAATTATATGTGATATTATAATAACCTAGTTTGAGTTAATACAATGTTTATAGACACCAAATAATAATTTTACCTCATTTGAAAAAAGAATCTTACTTTGTGTAATGAAAAGTGCGCAATTTTTTCTCGCGGTGGGATTGATAATTGAAGGAAAAAATCACTTTTTATTTTAGGTGGATTGTGAATCAAAAGAGAAATTACTTATAACTTATAGTGCACTACTTTTCTACTCGATTGAGACTTTTAATTGAGGAAAAATCTAATATATATTGTAATTCTACTGTACTTCTATTAATGTTGGACTGAACGATTTTTTTTTTTTAACTATAACATTTTATTTTTATTAATGTATATTTCATAAAAGCATAATCATTGATTTAATAAAGAAGAAATTTCCATTAATCTTCTAACTCAAAATTTCAAAATATTGTTTTTGCATCTTTATCTTTTTTTTTCTTCTGATAATATTGAAAAATTATTCTTAAATCAACCTCAACAATAACAACAAAAAAAATAAAATTAATAGAATATTTAAATATTAAATTTTAACAATAATAATAATAAATAAAATTAATAGAATTGTTAAATATTAAATCTCAACAAAAACAACATTAAACATGTTTTCCTTGATTTCCTTGTCTTGGATGACAACATTGAGAAACCATTCCTAAATTAGTCTCACGGAAACGTGTTATCATGAAAATTCTAACTGGAGAAAATTCAATAAAAAAATGTTAATAGCTACGTTGAAAATATGTTAAGTGTCAAGAACTCTCAATTTAAAGCTTCAACGTAGTAACCATGTTGACTAAGTAGCGTGGTAATGATGGTTTGGAAGAATCTCAAGAATAGATTCACAAGATTAGGATCATTCTTTCTTTAAAACATGTTCAAAATCCCGAAAAGAGTTATGTGATACGGTGGCAGAACCGACTATTAATACTGGTTTTGCATTTTGTATCGCAAATGTCGCGGTAAGCAAGAGTCGCCACTGTCTTTTTTTATCCAATAAAGGAAAGGGTGAAAAGAACAAAAAAAGATTTTTTTCTCGAGATTTCTGAGTAAGGGGGGTAGATTATGGAAAAGGAAGATATTAGCATCCTTTCCATCCATGGTTTTCCATGGGCTCTTAGGTACTTGCCTATTTGTTAAAATTGCTTGTGTTTGTGTGTTTTGAAAAGCTTTGAAAATGCCTTAATGCGGCGATTCACTTTATGGTAACTCTTGTATCAATCTCAAGAGTGTGATAACATATTTTTTTTTTTAAACTTTGTTTTGAAAAGTGTTCGAAAGTGTGTAAAAAGGATTGTTTGAGAAAGTACGTAACAGTTATCTACCTACTCGAAAAAAGACTATTCTTTTCCTCCTATCCTTTAGACTGTGTTATCCTACTATTAGTGAGTAGGTAACCCTAGCCGTTGGATGTTGAGGGACTATCGAAAGGGACGTTTATGGTCATTGAAGGCAACATGTAGAGATACCTTAGCATTTCAAAGGGACTATCATCATAAGATCATTTCTCGTAGGCAACTCGAGGGACATTTAGGGACTATGATCTTTATGACGACTTTAAACTGAGGATCTTTACTAAGAGTATCCCTACGCTCGAGGGACATAACCACTGTTTCTGAGGAAACCAAGTGGGGTATACCCTAAGGGTGCATGTGTGCAATAGTGTGCTTGTTTCATGTATTTTTATCTTTGATATTAGTGATCTAAGATTGATTGATTAAGCATACACGCCTAGGTTGCTAGGAATTATATACAATCATATAAAATATAAAAGCAAGAAATAGAGGTCCTACGCTATTACAAGGCTTTGGTGTAGATACATAAGGAATTGACTGAAAATAAAATGTGGAAATTAAAACCCTAATTAAGCTATTACAAACCGGGCACAGTTACATCAATAGTAAAAACTAATCGTACGGCAAAAATAAATACGCGTGAGGATAAAAAATTGAAATATGTTTGGAAACCCTAAAAAAAATCTAATTGCTCATTGAAAATGTTTTTTTTATGTTTTATGAAAACAATTAGAAGTTAAACCTAATTTCTAACTAATTTTTAATTAAAGAAAAAGGTTAAAGTTTAATTAAATTAATTTACAAAATTAATTTTATTAAGAAAAGTTGTAAATCCTAATTTTTATGATTTTTCTGATTTTTTCTGATTTTATTGGAAAAACGAATGAATAGAAAATATAAACCACTTAACAAAAACTAAAATTAAATAAAATAAAGGGAAGAAACATGGGCCTGGATCGAAGAAGCTTGGGTTGCCCTTTGATCCATGTGGCTGATCGAAGGCCTCGCTCGAGGGTTTTGGGGGGTGCCAGATCTGCAAGGAAATACGTTAGAAATTACATATGCAAGGCCTGGGATTCGAAGAAGCTTGGGTTCTCCTTCGATCCAAGGGGCTAATCAAAGGTGACTGAGAGACTGCAAGCCCGGGGTATTTGATCTGGATATGACATCCTTCGATCTGGAATGCTGCAAAGAAGTTTGTTAGAAAAAACACAAAATATATGACCTGGGTATCAAACCCAGGTCCTTTTCGCTGCAACACCTCTTCCTCACCAACCTGGTCAAAAGATATTTATTGGTACAAACGAATCTGCAATGTTACATTAGAAACAAAAACGCATTAATTATTTTAAATATCGAATCTGCGCACTCAGTGGCCCCCTATGGTGTTAACCCATCGAAAACGAGTTATAGCTGTGCAAATCGAAGGTAAGCTCAGATCGTGCCTTCTTGCTCACATGTAAACCACTAAAACAACCATGAATATTAGCAGCAATATATATATATATATATATATATATATATATATATATATATATATATATATATATATATATATATATATATATATATATATATATATATATATATATATATATATATATATATATATATATATATATATATATATATATATATATATATATATATATATATATATATATATATATATATATATATATATATATATATGTTCAACATGAATTTAAATCATACTTAACAAGTTTGAGATCAAAGGAAAAATTACCAACACGGGGGTTGTATGAGGGATGCTTCACGATTCAAATGTTAGTCTGGACGGAGACTGCGCGCAAAACCGACTTTGAGTGTGACAATCTTTGGCAACTTTATGGAATCTCGTGGGGCAGGCAGCGTTTTCTTCTAAGGTAGCCTCCGTGCATTTTTTCGTCCTTTTTTCTTTGTGAGCTGAGGTTTATATAAACAAAGGAATTTAGGTCAATATTTGTGTATCAAATCTTGGCCCATTATGATGAAAAGATTTGATTTGATTTCTTTATAAAGACTTTCTATATTTGATTCAATCACATGCCAGTCTGCTTTCATGCGTTACTGCCAGCCTATTATGAGTTGTTTGGCCCCCCAACATGATGAAAATCGAAAGCTGACTTGCCCTTTGCAGATCCATTTCCCCTTGAATTTTCTCTCTTCGATAGCTCTAAGCCCCGCTTCGAATTAATCCAACTTCTATGTCACAACCCCTTCGACTGAGACTCCTTCTGCTTTGATTGCATGTTTGCAAGGACAACATGGCATTTTGAACTTGGGGTGAACCTAGACAGGTTAGGATAGGTGTTTTTGCCTAGTCATGCCATCCCACTTCATTTCTTCAAATTTTTATTTTTTTCGCTAGCTTCAAAGTCCCCTTCAAGCCAATCAAGACTTTCCTTATTAGAGCCTTGTTTCCCTTGATGGTTCTGACTTTGAATTGTGCCAGCTTCAGTACTAGGGTTCCTTCGATTGGATCACCCTTTGCTTTGATTTCCTGCCTTTTTGAAGAGAAGTCCCTGGTCGAATCAGCTCTTGTGGCATTGTGACCCAACAGGGCAAGAATCTGGCCTGGACATATTTCCAGAGTGCCCTCTTGATGGCCTCTTTCGAATGGCCTGGAGGGAGTTCTTTAAAGGTTCCTTGTCCAAGTACCAATCAAAGGGTAATTATTGGAATATCAAACGAAGAGTACTTTGCCACGCCAATCGAAAGGCTTTGACACAATGCCCATCGAAAGGCTTGTCATGAGGCTAGTCAAAAGGCCTTTTGCAGGTGCCAATTGAAGGACGCTATGTAGATGGTAATTGAAGGACACTATATAGATGGTAATCGAAGAGCATTTGGAGATGCCAATCAAAAGGCACTTTAGGGATGCCAATCGAAGAGCCTCGTTAACAAGCCAATCGAAGGAAACTTAGAAACATGCCAATCGAAGGAAACTTAGAAACAGGCCAATCAAAGGAAACTTAGAAACATTATTTGAAAAATTTCCTTGTCTTTAGGCAAAGGTTTGTAACCACCTGTGCAAGAGAAGAATCTTGGAAAAATATGAGAGGAAAAATTTCGGGGTACAACAGGTTACATAAGGCAAACCTTCGACACAATGTTGAATTCGACACGTTTACCAGATATTAGGGACTTAGGATATTCTTGAGTCCAAATACTTTATGATGTGGAGATGTGTAGCGATAAAAAATGTAGTGGGGTAAATCGGAGATCAAATTATTGATTAATTCGTCTCACAAAAGCAAGAGTCGCCACCGCGCTTTATTATTTCCAAGGGAAAAGGGGAAAGAGCGAAATAAAACCCTAAATATGCAATGTAAA